CTCTCAACACAGTCGGATCAGCTGCAGCTGCTTATTATGAAACACTGGACTGCTTAGGCTGTTTAAGCTTCAGTTACAATGTTGCTAATATATTCGCTGTGATTCTCATTAGCCTGTACGTGGAGCTGTGCTCTTTTTGTATCTATACATTGTTATCAAAATTCTTTTGATTATCAAGTTTGTATAAATTTATTACAATACTAGCTACAATCCCCTAGCACTTAGTACAGCTGCATGAAGTGCTGAGATTTACCAGCGTTTTCTTTAAATTTTTTTGCGATATATACCTACTAAGTGGCCTGGTGATTGTTTGCCAGTCCTGATACATTAAGATTTAACTACTGGTAGATATATTTTTTATCCTTTTTTGATTTGCACACTTATTTTTGGGTATTTATTGTAGCACTTATTTGTGTTATTTGTGTTTTTCACATATGTACACTAGCACGTTTTGGTTTTAATACTAAGTCAATAAAATTTGTTTGTTATTTTCTTTTTTTACTATATATCAGTGGTATACTTTGCTTAATAGTATATCTTCTCAGCATATTTGTCTGAGACTGATATACTTAGTATCGTACCTATTTTGTTCTTTATTTTACACCGATTACATACAGGTACACAACTTGTTCTTCTTGCACTGTTCACTATAGTCACTGCCAACAAAAACCTTAATTGGATTAACTACATTTATTACAACCAACAGCGCTTCGTGAACTACACCAGGGATGCCCTCCAGGGCTTGGCCGAGCAATTACAGGCCACATCCCAAATGACCTTCCAGAACAGACTGGCCTTAGACATGATCTTAGCCGAAAAAAAGGGGGGTCTGTAAAATACTTCCCGACACTATGACTTGTTGCACTTACATTCCAGAAAACACAGGTCCTAATAGTAAAGTCACTCTGGCCATAGCTAAATTAAATAGACTCTCAGAAGAGTTAAAGAGAAACTCTGGAGTTACTGATCCCTGGGAAAAATGGTTTGGTTGGATGACTGGTTGGCAGAGAGCTTTAGTCCAGATTGGTATTGCCTTACTAATTTTTCTTTTTATTCTCGCTCTTCTCATTTGTTGTGTCCTCCCATGCCTAAGGAAATTCCTGCAGAAAACTGTAGACCAAGCAACACCAACCTTCACTCATCTGACAATCGATGATCAAGATCTCATCTCACCCTGTATTCCGCTACAAACTCTCCCTTATACTGATGAAGTGCAGAAAGTCTAGGAAGGGACAGTACAGGGACAGCGTCCGTCTTTATGGGTAGACTGCCGTACGGAGAAGTAGTGGATAAGCCACTATGGGTTACCAGCGGAGTGAAGAGTGTTCCTGAACCGTACTGACGGATGTGCTGCAGCCTGTTAGGGTCAAGAGAGGGATAGACTTGCACTTTGCATTAACACTAAGTCAGCGGTCATGGGGTTTCTGTGTCTTTGGGCTAACACATCTTCTGATACTAACAAATAAAGTTTTGTCTTTTAGCAAATAACATTTTAGGGGGGACTGTTGTAGAATTATTAGGCCTCTATAAATCTGTAAGGCCCCTTTAAATCCTCTTGCTATACCTCTAAGAGGCCCCCATAGTTTTACAAGAAAGCTTTGTCTATAGAACATAGAATTTGCATGCCAGCAAGAAATAGCTTTGATAAAATGTGTATTTACTAAAAGCCTTGAAACCTAACCGTGCCAGCTACACTCTAAATGGATGGCTGCCAAAGCACCCCTCCCATCGAGTGAACACCTCGTGCTAACAAGATGGCGCCTACATCTTGTGTCCACTCCCGTGTCAAGGATGACATCACCTCTTGATAGGAGGGTACCTAACTAACCACTTAACACCTGGACCAATCAATAGTGTCTATTTGCTGTTATCTTGAATTCTTCAGTGATGTAATAATGCCTTTAAAAGGGTCTGCGCACCCATTTTCTGTCAGAAGCCATTAAACTTCTCCGAAGTTTTTTCATTAACCTGAACTCTGTGTCTCAGTGTGAATTTACTTCTGCGTGCACGCAACTTTATTATCTTTAATTTGGACAGGAACAGATAGTCATTCAAACTAATTGGTTTGCAGTAAATTATCTACTACACTATCAACTAGTGATGTATAGGGAACTTCTCCTTCTCTTTAAGGACAAAGGAGAGAGGAGACACTCTTAAACACTATTAGACTCTCACACTCAGACTCACTCAGACTCAGATCTCTCACTCTAAGAATGGACTCACACCTAACATTGGAGATCTGACATCTGGAGCCAAAGCTTCAGACACACCTAATTATTTGTATCTTTTCCAACTAAAACAACTTCAGATCTCTGAAAACCTTTCTATTTTCATACAATCCTCTCATCATACTTGCATTCAAAATTCCTGGGACATATATACACATCTGATAGAAAATCTACAACATAACTGGTAAATATGCTGGTTTTATTCAATTTAATTAAATTAATAGATTTTACTAAAAGGCAGAATATACTTGGATAAAAGCTGGTGATTCCAAACATTAAGGAGTCATGATTCGTTAATAATATATAGAATTTGTAATTCAATTCCTGCAGGTGGACCAATGAACTCTATATTACTTTTAACTTTAAATTAGAATACCAGGCGCCCGCTCTACAGACTAATAAAATAGAGTTTTTACCATGCAAGTGCTGAAATTCTGCAGACTATTGGCACTCTGGACACCCCCCAAAGAAAGATGGGACGAAAGCATAAAAAATCAGCCAAACCGTAGGGTTTCAACCACGTGGACATCCAACAAGCCTTCACCAAGCAGCCGTCATAGGCACGACCTAACATGGCGCCTGAGGAGCCGCATGGCTCCAGTGACTCTGAATCCTCACAGGATGTAGAGAGAGCCCAAGCACTATGGGCTGGCGGCAGAATATACCAGAGCTCTGATTCGGACTCGGACACATCCCCATCCACTAAAGGGGATTTAAAAAAAACCTATTGCAGGACCTGAGGGAGGTCTGGAAAGTGGACTTAGCGAGAGTACAAGAAGAAATTGGAGGCCTGAACTGCCGCATAAGAGCTGTCGAAGCCAGGGAAGAAGAGAGGGGGAAAACATTGGAGGATGCCAGCTCACGGATAGACTCCCTCACACAACAAGTAACGCACTTCTCTTGCACTGTCACTGCCCTGGAGGCGAGACATCGACGGAGAAACATCAGCATCCGCGGGTGCTCCAGAGATGGTGGGCCAGGAAGCCCTGCTCGGCTTCACTCACGAAGTACTGCAAACGCTGGGGGGTCAAGACCAACAGTGAATTACCACCCATTGTGTCGGCCTTTAGGATCAGGAAGGCCCCTGCGGTACCTGCAGACGCACCACGCGACATCATAGCGGTAACTCGAGACATAACCATGAAGTCCACCATTATGTCGCGCTCCAGGCAACAACCAAGCCTGCTTAATGCTAAAAACAAGATCACAGTGTATGATGACTTACCCTTCTCCGTACTCCTCGACCGGCGCAAGTTTGCGCACATTACCCGGATCTTGCGCGACCAGGGAATCAGATACCGATGGGGGATGTCGGGAACCCTACTAGTGCAGCATGGAGAGGCGGTAAAGGTCCTATCGGCCTCTGACGACCACATAGAGTTTATGAAGAGCCTCCACCTGTTCACACCACCCCTCCCTGGGCAGCAGGGGACAGCGGTACAGGCGGCAGGGAACCCCAGCTTACAACAGAAACGCAGGTCCCGGCAAGTGGAGAAAACAAGACACCCAGGGCAGCGGGACCCCCCCATAGGTACCCGCAAATCGGAGGTCCCTCAGCAGCGATGGAGAGGCAAGAGAACCATGCAGTCATTCAAGGCAGTTTGAGCAGGCCCAATCAAAGGACTTACCATTACTCTGTAAATCAACACTGCCAAAGGCATGGACTGCCTCACGCTGATCTTACATTTTCCTAATAGACATTGGTGAACCACCCTGGAATACTAAAGTGGAGAATGTGACGGGTGAGCACCCAAGAATACCCCAAGTGGCGGGTGCACTGCCGGCATGTGCTTAACTCATGTGTATTAACGCGAACTGCTAGGCATTAGGAAGCCAGACAACACTTACACTTAGTATACCAGAAGAGTTAAATCGACTCACTATTGTTAAATATTATTCACCCAGAACACAGTTATCTAAGTGCTACCTGGGTAGAAGCTTTTCACATGAGGGGCCCCAGGGGAGATAACGAGCCGCAGCTAGGGGTTAACGAGACATGCTCAATCAGTCGAAATAAACATAAGTGGCACCCACCCACGCACACAGTGATTGTCCGGGAGCACCTATCCCCCATGTTTCTGTAGAACTAGAGTAACTACTACTTTTTCTGCACAACATTGAGGCATTTTGCTTTAGCGGTTAACTGGTTAACTTAACATTAGAGTAAAAGTTAACCAGCAGCCACACATACCCAACGATATACCAGAACAGTAGAGGCTGGGTCCACCTGAGAAGAATTCTAGTGTTATTACTTTATTATAATATGTTATGTATCGTTATGCTTTACGGTGTTTATACGAGACAATCTAAAGATCTAACCTACACTGTCTCTTATCACTACTTACCCCTGCCCATCTTTGGACAGGACTTGTGATATCTTGCTAACCTATTGTATAAAATTGTGCAGGTTACACCTATGTCTGGAATTGCCAGCTGCTGCTGTTGGAGCACAGCGGGCCTATTGTGATTTCTTTTGAATGAACACAAAAATACAGAATAATAAAAAATAAAAAAATAGAATACCAGGCAATTATCCAGATATATTAGCTTACATAATTTAGAAATAGTGAATCTTAATTAAGGAAGTTAAAATTCTGCAAACTTAAAATCTGGTTAGAATTATTCTTATTGGATGGACATAGGAAGGTTAAATGATTTGGTATGAGAGATATTGTATTTGTAAAATTGCAATATAATAGGATATCTTGCCTATGAGAATTGTAGCCAGCAGTGAAAGAATTAATTCAGTGTGATTTGACTGTCAGACTAAGTTTTTATTGCTTTACGCTGTGCTGCTGTGAAATGCTGTGAGATGCTGTGTTCTGTGTTAAGTTGATTTCAAAGTAAAGTATCCTGTCGTAAATCTTGTTGAAAACCGCATACACTTCAATATATCTGTTGCTATTTAGCTGTCTATATTGTGTTAAACGACTGCCATATTGTATACTTATGTTATACCTAAATATTCACTGATATTGTCACACATGTTATATATTATTGTCACAATAAATTATATTTTTATAATTAATTTGTGATTAATGTGTGCGATAAAATCTTTTAATGAAACTTACTCCAGGATCTATGAGAATTAAAATAGTGGGTAATAACTTAATCTAGGAAACAGTGCAAAGATATAAATTTTGATACAATAAAAATTATTAAATTAGTTTTTGATCATTTGTATGAAAATATTATTTTTAATATTTATCACCCCATA